GCAGTACCTGCCCTGTTGAAGGACCTGCTGTGGTCTGGAACAGGGGCTGCTGAACCCGGGTAGGATTAACATCACTGGCCTCTGGATCCAGCCTCAAGGAAACACATCAGCAAGGGAATTGTCTGGGAATCTGAAGTCTGGGCACAGCATCTGAAGGCAGATGCCTCCCCAGCCTCAGAGGGCGCTTTCCAAAACGGCAACTCCGTGAACATCTTTCAGTTTGGACGTTCCACAACTGAGGGGCACTTTGGAGAATATGGATTGAGCTTTTTGGTAAGGACACATCAAGGCACCTCAGTTCAGTGCCTGGCCCCCACACTGTTCCACCAGCCCACATCTCCACCTGGGCTGCTGTAGAGCTGGTGGCATCAGCCTGGGCCTTTGCTGGGTTCTTTCGGGGATCAGTGCCAGCCTATTTAAATACAACCACTGTGTGTGTTATATCCATATGCCAACCACTCTGATCTGACTGACAGGAGCCTGAGAGCAGCACTGAACTGCCCTGGGTACTCTGTGTGATCCATAAGACCATTCTAATCCTCCTGCTTCCCTTTGTGCCCAGCACTGCAGAGTCAGGGTGTTTTTTACACTGTTTTAAACCTGCAATAGCAGCGCTGCCTCCAAGGGTTTGGGCAGTAAATGGAGATGCTCATTCCTGGCAGGGTGTGTGGATCCAGAGCCTGAATGTTCCACACAACAGTTATCTCCAGTAATCCAGTGATTCCAGGAGTATAATGTGGGACACTCCCTGCTCAGGTGGGTGCTCACCTGGACAGCCCAGAGCCAGCCCAGAGGCAGGGCCTGCAGGGCTCACAAACAATCTCTGCCTTCACACTTCTGCTTTCTCTTTTGCTTGGTTTGTCTCAGTAATGCTGCAGATGATTCATGATCCTGTGCTCCCTTCTCCCACATCATCATCCTGCAGCAGAGCTGTGCCCTGTGTGCACATGGGAGCGGGTGGGAACGGAGCACGTGGACCCTCACAGGGAATCTCCATCCAGCCAACAAGGACCGTGTCATTTAATGGCTCTTTAGGGTTGCTGTAGAGCCTATGCATTTCCTCCCCTCCTCTTCCTCCAGTTTAGCCATGATTTTCATGTGGTTTTAATCTATATTTTCTGTATTTTCTCCATCCAGCTCTTTGTTTCCAAAACTTCTGGTCAGCTGCAGTACATACTGAGAGCCAAACAGATTGCTGGGTTCTTCCATGCTTCCTTCCAGAAAACAGCTTTAAAGTTAAAACTGGTGTTAGATGCTTAAATACCAACACCTCATTTATCTGCCAGCCACACCCCTGCATTTAAAATGGCTGCAGTGAGAAAAGGAGGGAGATGGGGCAGATTTTCTGCAGGGGCAACTAACACAGCCCAGCCTCATGTCCTCCCACTCAGGCCATCCTGGATGGCTGCAGAAGGGAGGCAGAGACTCGTGTTTACTTCATAAACCTGTGAGGAGATGTGATGCACAGCCATGTGGGAAGATGCATGTGGGGAAAAGTCTCAGTCTCAGCTGCCCCTGGGAGATAATTCCACTCCCACCCCTGGAGTGCCCTCACTGAGCTCCAGCCCAAGGCTGGGCCAGGCTGGCTCTGGCCATCCCTCCACCTGGTCCAGGGCTAACCTTTGCAAAGGTGCAAAGCATGGCCCAAACAGCTCCCTCATCCTGCTGGGATCCATGTCCATGTGGGACAGGTGCTCAGTGTGGTGCTGCACGTCAGCACAGGGAGCCCATCCCAGCACAGGGAAACCATCCCAGCACAGAGCAGCCTTCCAGTACTGTATCAATTATACCTTCACTATACATCCAAACACTTCAACCAGCTCCATTTCCAAGCCAATCTAACAATGTGCCTGCAAATCCTCCCTGAGATAGTTTTGGAGGCTCATTATCTCTTTGGCTTACATCTACATAAAAATCTACTTGGTTTACAGCAACATTAAACCTGAGGCTTATGCTGGCCTCCTACCCAGAACAATTCCACCCTCGGGCACCTGAACAGCCCCTTGCACACACAGTTACTGCTGAGGGTGTTGGACTCCAGATTGTGCTGTGCTCAGGAAGGAGGAGGAATGGGAAGACAACCCCTAACTCAGGGAGGCAGAGATCAGGCATCTGCTGTTCCCCAGAACTGCTCAGCTCAGGAGGAGTGGGGTCACCCCATTCCAGATGTCTGTGTACTGGCTACCATTCCTGTAAGGAGTCCAGTGGTGGGGATATCAGGGCAGCAGAATTAGTTCTTTGTTTTCTGTTGTTGAACAAACCTCCCAGAACCTTCGGAAAGGTTCGTGCCTGCCTCCCATGCATTTGTAATATCCCCCACAGGTATCCAGGGTAATTTTGCCTGTGTTGGTATCAGGCACAGCAAAGAGTTATTATTGTTCTGAGCCGTCAGGCAACAATTGCCTCTACTGTAAACCGAGTGGTAAATTCCAGACTTCATCCCAGAATCCTTCTGAGACCAATAAACTTGGATACATTTGGAAACAGCATTCCTTTATGGGTGAGTGCCAAGGAGATACTGGGTTCCAGATAAACCTCCAGAGTGAGTCTATTGACTTCAGTCCATTTACTCCAGGGATAAAGCTGGCTTGGTGTCTTTCCTGAAGAACTGCCGGATAATAATGACTCCTATTTAATTAAAAAGCATGCCAAGAGGAATTTCAGGGTTTAGAAATGTGCTTGTCACTCAGAAACAAATTTATACTTGGTAAGAGAAGAGTTTGTTGTTTTTTTCCTTCTTCCCCTGGACACATCCCCAGTTATCTCCAAAGGTCCCCGGGCTGGGATCCATGGTGATGGCTCCGACTCTGCGGTTTGGTTATTCGAGGTTAGTGCTGATGCCTCTGGTCTCTTGTGCAAGCCAGTTCCTCTGCCCTTAATTCACTCCTGACAACTGCATTCCTTCCTGTGCCACTTCCAAACCAGGCTAGAGCTCTGCTGGGCTCCCTCTCTGCACACCCCAGACAGGCTGGGCTCTCCTCCACATGGCCTTATCTTTAATTTCACAGAGTTTTTGGGTGAGCAATACACAGCGAGGTATCTCAGCTGCTGATCTGCTGCCAAACACACCGGGCTACCCCCTGGAGAGGTGGAAGAGGTTTCATCCAGGCTCTTGGAGGACAATCTTTCCAACAGCTACAGGGATGTGTTTGACTTACACTTGGAAACCATCAGTGAGATAGTCCCCACTCGCAGACCCTGCTAAGAGGGAATGTGGGAGGTAAAGGAGGAGAGTGAGGAAAAGCTTTTATCTACAACAAATTTTTTAAGCACAGGATTTAAATCTGGAACACATTAACTTTATAAAGTTTAATGTGGACAGAGACTGCCTCTCTCTGCTGGCCCACCTTGCTTATCTGGACTGTATTTTTCACACTTCACAACCACTGTCCTCACACTGTTCCACCCAGCAGACCCACACTGCCCTCCCAGTGCACAGCTCCATGTCCTCTGCACTGCTGCTTTTATTTATGCCTTTTTCTCATCTGCTTCACCTTTCTCCTGTAACAGATCCTTAACCCAGCAGCGTCACCGAGAGCCTTTCCTCTCTATCCCCCCAGTTCTGCTCCAGTGCAAACATCTGTACAGGGCACATCTCCACTGACTTCCATGCAGATGTGCCAACAAAGGAATTGGCCCAGTTCCTCTGGGAATGTGCCATCTAGTTTAGACAAATAACTCTGAGCAACCTACCACGCTGTTAATGTTTTGGCCAAATTTAGAACCAATCTTTTTTTATTGTCCTGAAAGTCCAAATAAATATTTTTTCCATTCTGGTTTTCTTCTCAGGACCAAGGTGCCAAACTACTGTGAAAAGAAGCGTTTTATCCCCAGCATTTCCAGCCAGGAACAGAAATAGACAACGAAGATTTTTCCTGCTAGATTTCCATCCTTGTTCTGGTTAAATTCATCTCAACACAAAGACTCATCCTTCACTTTGCCTGCTCCAGCAGTGTGGGGCTCCAAAGCTCTCAGAACTGGATTGGACGTTTGGTACAACATGGTACAAATTTACAACTCTGGGTATGTCATTTGAAATCAAAAATAATGATGGTGACCCAGCAACTTGAGCCAGTTTGGGCAGCCTGAAAAGCAGCATCTGAATTGTTCCACGCAGCCACTCACCAAAACAGGAGTCCAATTCTGCTGACATTTCTACATCCCTAATTCTTGTTCTATATTTGCAGCACAAACAAGACCCAGAGCAGCAGCAGAGCTTCCCTGTATTGTGTGTTCCCCAATAATCAGGATCCTTGCCCTGATCCTCAGAGTGCCAGATGGAGATCAGCAGGGATGGAGAGTGCTAGGACAGGTCCTTGCAGACAAACACCAGGGCACGTCTTGAGTCCTGTGATTTCCTTTTTGCCTCCCTTGACCTCTTCCTTCTCCCCTGTTCTATCTTGATTTTCCTCTGCCTTTTTAAGGTATTAACCCTGTGATTGTGCTTTTTAACTTCTGTGAAAGAGCCTGGAGACAACTCTCAGTGAAGCACAGTTGTACTTCCACTGGAACTGTCACTTGAGTGTTTCAAAGTGCTTTCCAGCCATAGTGGGTCAGGAAACAAAGTTAATCTTGCAAAAATTTCCACATTAGAAATGCCTTTTCCTTGCACCTGAGGCAGAACAAGGACTGCAGCCTGGGTTGGCCATGCCCTTCCACAGGAGCCCTCCAGCGTGGAGGTACCAACACCGGGGTTAGACAATGCAGAAGAGCCCTTCCTCCCCAACAGGCATGGCAAGGAATACACTTCTGCAAACCCTTTCCATTTTGTGACCAATAAATATGACTGAGAGGCTCCTGACAAGGCCTGGATGTTGGCATCATTGCTGTTCCATGGGTGTGATCCAGAGGCTGGGCAGATGGAACAGAAGCCCAAAGCAGTGCCAGTGGTGGAAGAAATGCTGCCCCATCCTGTGGAAAACTTTGTCCCCTTCCCCCTCATTTCTTACATTCAGGCAGCACTGAATTGCTGCTTTCTGCTGATGATTTCTGTCACTTACCACAGTGCAGCAGAGAGGCCAGAACCACCAGAGCAGAGCCAAGGCCAGCAGGAGGAAGAGGATCAACAAGGCGATGGCCAGGATGGTCCCATCGGACTGGAAGAGAAACACCAGAGTGTGTGAGCAGCACTAACACAGAACTGCCTCTCCAAGGTACTCCCCTGTGCACCCTGCTTCCAGGGGCATCCCACTCCCCATTTATTGTCATTTTAATGACAATAATTATCAATGCCATACTCCATTTATTTGTCAGACAAAATGCAGTTTTCCTCTCTCCTCACACATCAAATGTGGCACCTGTCCCTCCCCCCACCTCACTGCAACGAGGCCCAGAGCTCTCCTTCACTTCATGGATTTTGCCTTGATTTTCTGAACCTCCCAGTTACATAAAACATTTAGCTCAGATTAAAACTAATGTAACATTCATCAGAGCATTGTGAAGACTGAAAAAAGATTTAAAAAGGAGCTCACAGCACAATCATGGAATCATGGAGTGCTTTGTGTTGGGAGGGACCTTAAAGCTCATCTCATTCCACCCCCTGCCATGGGCAGGGATACCTTCCACTAGCCCAGGTTGCTCCAAGCCCTGTCCAACCTGGCCTTGAACATTTCCAGGGATGGAACATCCATCCATCCATCCATCCATCCATCCATCCATCCATCCATCCATCCAACCAACCTCTCTGGGCAATGTTTCACTGCGGTTTAAACATTCTCCTTCTTTGCAACTCTTTTCCCCTCTTGCAGTACAAACTCTAAAGTGATGTTGGCATTAAAGTTGACTCCAAACACAAAACTTGCAGCCAGGTCTCCAGGGTCCCTGACTTGGGTCACCCTGCTCCTCTCAGCAGGGCTGAGCCACAGAAGTTCTGCCACGAGCTTTCCAGGGAGATTTGAACACACACACACCACCCCAACAATCACAGGGAGTTTCCTCCTCAGAAGCCATTAACTCCAGAGGATCCTCTCCTCTCCAGCTGGGATGCTCCCCCCAGTTAAGATCCATGTGCAGTTCTCTGGTGTCCATCAGCACTGCAAACTGCTGCACAGGCCAGCCCAGCTCAGCAGGCAAACCCCAACGTGCTTCATTTCTTGCTGCTTAGACTCAACCCCCAGCAGCTGTTCCTGCCTGTTCAGCTGTTCCAGGTGTGCCAGCCTCCCCACACCCTTCCTCCCCAGCACCACCATCCTGTTCCCAGGCCAGCAGGCAGGCCTGACTTCAGGCTCTTGGAGATGTTCCTGATGGCAGAGCAGGCGCTCCAAACCCCCAACCCAGGGTCAGGATCCCAGTGCCAGACTGAGGACACAGTCAGGGCAGACTGACCTGTCAGGGGGAGATCTGGGTGCCTGCTGAGCTCACTGTAACTCAGGGGCCAGATGACCTCCCATCATACCAGAGGGGGAGAGTAATGGAAAAGCAACCGGGTTGAGAGCATTTTCCAAGCTCTCTGCTGGTGCAGAAAGAATTTCTGGAGAACTTGGATCAAGATGACCTGATCTTTGACACTTGGAAGCTAAAGAGAGGTAGTCCACACAGGAGAAGAATTCACCCAAGGCATGTCTGGAAATGGAACTTGGACCCCACCACAAAATAAAAGCTCATTGAGAAGACAGAGCTGTACATTTGGGGCTGTTCCTCCAGACAAAGAGCATAAAGGCACATCCATCATCTGCAAAATGACACCTGCTGACAGTCAGTGCTTTACAAAATGTGATCTTGACTCTTTGCTGCCATGAAATTGTAGGAGAAATAAAGCTTTGTATGTCTAATCATTGTCTGCCCCTTCAGACCCATACTGAAACAAACATTTTGTCATTAAGATATTCTGAAATCAGTTTGCAAATATACAAAACGAAGTGGCCTTGTAACTGTTTTCTGGGGATTTTTTTTGTTTGTTTTTAAAAATAGAATTTATTTTTACTTTTCTTCCCCCCAAGAGAATCTGTGAAGACCAATTTAGGATACCCCAACACGTGTTTCTGCCCCAGCTCTGAGCTGTTCCTGCTGCAGCGAGGCCGGGAGGGAACCCCAGTGAGTCACACCAGGACAGAGCACATGCACACCACAAACCCTGCCAGAATAATCCACAGTGCACTCTTGAACTGCTTTGGGTTTGGTTTATCTTTATTTTGCCAGTTTCTGCCAGAATTTAGCTATCACTCTGTGCAATATCTATGGTTTAATATGGCTACAGCTATGCTTAGCTAGAAACTGCCACTTAGCCAAGCTGAGTGATGAACAAGAAGGAAATTCTGCCTGCTAAAAGAGTTTGCAAAAGTTCCTCTCACATTTTGAAATCTCTCTCCCAATCTTATATAGCTGGTGAAAGGGCTGAAGCATTTCAAATGTCTGCTTTTGTTCCTTTCTTTTTAATATTTTTTTTGTTTTGTTTTGCTTTTTTTAAATTAAAATTTGGAAGAACAATGCAAAGGCTCATGGAAACACTGACCCATGGAATAATGCAATGAGCTGTGTGTAACACTCAGTGAATACAGGCAATTCAGACCAAGAAAACAACTTCCATTTTAAAAAGAGAATTTTTACAGTAAACTAGAGAATTTTCCATTAAAAAAAAAAAGATCTATGGAGACAAAGTCCAGATAGTCCCTAAATACACAGTTATCTGTGATCAGTGCTATTGTCCCATAGGGATTCACCTTGACTTCTCACACAGAGATAGAGATGGTGCTGGTACCCTCAGTGAGATCAATAAGTTCAAACCCCAGCACACCTGAATGGTGACAAAAGCCCGACAGCAAAGGGACCCTCAGAGCTCGTTCCAAATGAAGTGGAAAACTTTGGTACTTCGCTTCCCGACAACTGTTGAAGTCCTGGACGATGCCTGGAGCTGCTCTTTTGAAACACCCTCTTATTTTATCAAGGAACAGTCATATAAAAAGGAGTGGGCTCTTTACATGCCCTTTCAAGGTTCTCCACATCTGACATACTAAAACTCTGCTGTGTAGATTGTGAAGTAAATGAGCTGGTGGAGAAAGCAAGGCAGCCGTGCCTTGGAGCCTCATCTGCCCTGCCAGGGTCCAACAAGGTCAACAAAGTGCTGCAAGTACTGCTGGCACTGGAAGTGTGATGGGAAACAAGCTCTGGAAGATATTGTACAAGAGATATGAAGAAATCTGGAGCAGGACATGTTAGAGGCATTTCCTCATAGATTGGGGGGGGTGTACATACGTATATGTAGAGAGAGAGGGAATCATGGAATCACAGAATGATTGGGGCTGGAAGGGACCTTAAAGACCACCTGGTTCCATCCCTGCCATGGGCAGGAACACCTTCCAGTGGATGAGGTTGCTCCAAGGCCCCTCCAACCTGGTCCTTCACTCAGCAGTTACTGTGGGATTTTAGGGACTACGAGAAGCCAGGCTGGGATGGGGGAAATCCCTTGGCCACGAGACAGAACCCTGGCCCAGCTCTTGAACTGCAGGTTCTTCTAGAGGCAGAGGAGGGGAGGGATGGCAAAATCTGATCCAGCAACTGCCATGGGCTATTTCCTGAACTCTCCCCACAAACACTGGGATATGTTCCCCCTACAAGGGAACAACTCCCTCCAGGCACACCCTCGATCCCTGGGAAGATCCCAACACAAAGCTCAGGATAAGCTGGGTGGGAGCACATTCCTTTAACAGCCAGGGCAGAGGGATGGCCACTCCACCATGGTCCTGCCACAGAGGAAATGACTCACCCCCCAGCCTTCCTTTGCTGTTCCCTGCTGAGACACTGCCCAAGACCAACCTCCTGAAATTTTGCCCCGGGAAGTTCAGATGCAATCATGAGGTGAGACAAAGCCAAGATGGAATCTGTGGTATTCATCTTAGACTTCCTAAATTCTTCTGACACAGAAACAGACACATACCAGTTCATAAACAAACATAAAATTTCCATGGAATTAAGGCTTATTTTTGAGGGTTTTCCAAAAGATGCTGCTACACACCAGATGGGTATTTTTTGTTGCATTTGGGTTTGTTTCTTGTTTTTTTCTAATCTTTTGATTTTTGTTTAAGATTTTATTTCCTAGTTTCCCACCTTACTGCATACATTGGCTATTCCAGAGAGGTACTGTGGAATAACATCCCCAAAGCACACAGAGCCTCAAAAGCTCTGAGTGCTGAGTTCAGCAGTGATGGATGAAGTACTGGGTGTATCCAATAAAAGTGCTCATGTCCTGGCTGACAAATGAATGTCCTGGGATTTACAGGGACAGGGAGGAGGGCAGTGCCTGCTCCTCACCATGGCAGTAACTGGATTTAGCTCTAAGGGTGTGTTTGAATGTGCTGACTTCACACTGAGCCCAACAGCAATGGACCTCAATGAAATATGTAAATCATGGAATATGCTGAGTTGGAAGGGACCCATCAGTGTCATTGAGTCCAACCTCTGGCCCTGCACAATCCCTCCCTGTCCCTGAGGGTGTTATCCAAATGCTCCTGGAGCTCTGGTAACCCTGGGGCCGTGACCAAACCCCGGGGAGCCTGTTCAGTGCCAACCACCCTCTGGGGTGCATCAAGCACTGGTTTTAGTGGGCCTTGAAGGCTGGGCTCAGGATAAGGATTCAGTCCTAACTCCTACAGACTTCACTGGAAGGCAAGAAGCTGTTTGATCTGGTTCTGCACTCACTGCTCCAGCACAGGAAAGCGCTGTCCCCTGTCAGGCAGCTGCTCTCAGAGCTGCAGGCAGCCTGTCCCTGCCCTGTGCTGTGCAGAAGAGCTTGTGGAAACAGCAGAGGAGCTCAGGCTGTGCCACAGCCCTGGGATGTCTCCTCCAGGCAGGCTGGGAGCTGTCACTGCTGTGTCAGGGCAGGACCATTAGCACTGGTACCAAGGACTGGGCCCAGCAGGGCTGTGACAGCCACACAAACACATCTCACTGCAGTGACCCTGCAGCAGAAACAGCTTCAATAACACTTAGCACTGAGCCTGGTCCTAGCACTGACTCTCAGCTGCTGTACAAAGAGCAGAAACAAAACTGATGTCATTCCACAGACAGGGAAGATATGAATGGCTCCTGTATCTCATTTTCCAAGTAGGAAGAGCAATAACACGTGAAAGCTATCAGAGGGGTCAGTAAGAAAAGGATGAAG